TTTTTCAATAGTTTTCCAAAATCTATCAAACGTAATAACTTTTTCTAAAATTTTCAAAGTATTCCAATAATTTTCAATAATTATTTAATACATTTTAAATAAACTTTCAAAAATTTTATATATTGTAAATTTCAACATTATAATATTTTATTCCTCGATCTACATTCGGTTATTAACTATAATAATAACATTAACTAAAATTTTATACTTTTTTATAATTGTTATATATAATTCCCAATTTTATAGAAAAATTAGTTAAAGAGTTTTCAATTTTTCTAAAATATTGTTAATTAACATGAATATAACAGTATTTACCCAAAATATTTTAAAAAGTCATGATGAGTTAATTAATAAAAATAATTATTAATTTTTGGTAATTTACTAACCATACTAATAAGTATATTTAATTTTTGGTAATTTAATAACTGTATTTATTAACTTTTCCTAACAAAACTATTTAATACTCATTGAATCTGGGTTGGATTAACTATTAACCGTATTTAACTATTTATTAATTAATATGAATATTTTAAATGAGAGAAAGTAGATATAGATTGGGGGAGAGATTTTAGGAATTTATTGGAGAGTGGGGGTAACATGATACGTAACGACTTTAATGATATATCTTATGAGAGAGATTCTAGGAATATTTTAAGATGGTTGGGTTGGGAATGGTGACAGGGCTTAGTGGGAGTTGTGAGAAGGGGAGAGGAGAGAGAAATAAGGAGAATGTAGGGTGGGGGTAATGGAGCAAGGAGAGGCATGCTGATGTGGACCGTCTTGCTATATATTTCTACTAGTGGAGGAAAATCTGAAAGATTGAATAGTTTTATTTACTATTAATTAATTGATAAACTAATAATCAAAATTTGATGTTAATAAACTAAAAGTATTCTAAGTTATTGCTAATATTTAAAATTTTAATAATTCTATTCTTTATTTAATGTTTATTTACATAAAATAATTATTGTTAATTTAATATGAACAAATATTTTTTAATAAGTTTAATTTTATTAATCATTTCTAGAAATTTTAAAATTTGTTATTATTTTCATTATTATTAAATGAATTTTTGATTGACTTTAAATAAATAAAAATAATTACAAAAGCTAACATTTTAATTAATTTCACTAATAATTAAAAATTATGTAGGAATGACAATAGGGTGGGTTTAGGGCGGAGCACCCCATCCCTGTCCCCACTTTGTAGTCAAGACACTCTACCCCAGCCCCGCCCCATCCTCATTGTTAGGCAGGTTTAGGGCAAGGCACCCACTCCTCATCAAGGATAGAGAATCCTCGAATTTCCCCGCCCCGTCCCGAATGTTGGGCGGGTTCAAGGCAAAACACCCACTCCCCGTCAATCTAATATTCAATTTGATGACAAAAATGATCAAAAGAATATACTGAGTATTAGCCGTGTGGTAAATTTCTAAACGTACACCAAATTGTCTTTAATTTTTAGAAATGTAATTTTATGAAAATTTTATTCAAATTTGTTTTTAAATTGTTATTAAATAATTTATTTTGTTTTTAAATGGTTTGCTTATAGAATTACACTAATTTATCTTATATTTTCTAACATAAATTAATCAATAATTTCCTTTTTCCAATATTATACTAATTTATCTTAATAATTTGTGTAATTATTGGTTCAAATTACAGTTTTTCCTTTCCCATACTCATTTATATTTAATAATTTTCAATTATTTATAATAAAAATTACATAATTTTTCAATAGTTTTCTAAAATATATCAAATGTAATAACTTTTCCTAAAATTTCCAAAATATTTCAATAGTTTTCATTGATTGAATTGGACTGATCCATTTGTAATGGATTCACATTGACTGGTTCGGATTGGACCAAATCTAGTACAATTGACACCTGATAAACCAGAAAGTTGAGGGTATTACAATCCTATCATTTGGTTTGTGTGGTGAAAAGTAGAAATTCCATTTGGAAGTTAATACGAGTTTTGTGATTCTTGAGAACCTTCTAGTTCTAGTTCCAGAAAGCTCAAAATGAGTATCTATTATTCTAATTATAGAGAGGAAGGCTTTAAAACCTATCGGCCCAAATATAAGACTCTGTTGGTTTGTAGTGTCAACGTAACGGAGGTGTAAATGAATGAGTGAAAATGGGTAAGTAAAAATCCTGGTTTACTTTGATTCCGATTTAACCACAGTTCGTATGTTTGTTAAGGCAGCAATTGTATGTAATGCAATTACCCAATCAAGGCAAATATGTACTTTGGTTGGACTTTGACATTGCTTGTTTGAATTGGAAAAAATGCATAAAAAATTAATGCAATAAATGCAATCACTATGATGTTTACCTTGAAAATGAGTAACTGATGAACCCTCAAGGTAAATAGTAAAATAGAAGACCTGTTTGCTCTCATCGATCTTCAACCTTTGAAACTTAGGCTTAGTTTGAAAGGCGTATAAATACAATTTTGTAGAGTGTAAAATTATGTATTTTATATTATTTTCTATGAATTTGTACTGCACATATTTGTGTTTATACTCCTTGCAAACTGAGCCTTAGCAACACCTCAATTGTCAACGTAGTTTAACCCATTGATAAGATGAAAACACGCTCCTATTTGAAAGAAATAATAAAACATTGCATCTATTACATGTTTGAAATAATAAAGGGAAAATTTATGATGTAGAAAGATATAGTATTGGAAGAGTTTTGACCAATCAAATCTCATCCATGAATTTTGATAAATAATACCTAATTAGCTATAAAGTTTATGATTTGATTTGATTGGTCAAAAGTTTTTCGAATATCATATCTTTTCCATATCATAGTTGAACCCTAGAGTATCTTGACTACGGGATAAGAACGAGGAGGGAATGCCATGCCCCAATTTCTTATTGGATAGGATAGAGGGTGATTCCAATCCCATCCCATCCAATTTTTAATCGAATAATTCGATCCAAAGATAGGAAATGGAGATATAGATCTATATCTGATAAAAATAGGATCCGACTTCAAATTGGATCAATTCATTTTGAACCCCTAACTTATACTTTTAAAGAAGGAAAACTATATGCTACCAAGAAAGAAAAACATGATACCAGGTGAGCTTCGGCCTTTGAACAACCACCCTTCCTGAATTTTGATAAATTCAACCTGATTGGTTACAAGTTTTTCTGGTATCATAATTGAATCCTCAAATAACATCATTTTTTACTAAATATTTAAATGAGAGGAATTGTGAAAATAACAAAACTTAATCTCAATCACAGAGTCCGAGTTCTAATTTTCAAACAAGAGATCAATGCGTAAAATGTTGAATTTTTTCCACCAACAATAAATGTAAAAGAAGAAAACATGATATATTTTTCCTTTGAATGTCTATAAAAACAGAGTCCGACTATGATACAAAAAAATCGATCATGGTAACCAAAACCACTGGTATTATTGGTCAAAGTTCTTCTAAGATATCAAGATATATATATATATATATATATATATATATATATATATATATTTTAATTTTTATTTGTTTAAGCTAAATTGCTAATTTTTAAATGAATTTTCTTTACTTAAGATCAAACCCTGTTTGGTTTTCCCTCGTTCTTTTATGGCGTTCTACTTAAAACCTAATTCAGTCTTTTTTTGAGTCGAAGAAACCCCCTATTAGCTAATAGCTGCCTACCATGGAAACTAAACTAAACCTGCTCCAGTCTCCGACTCCGTGTATTAATTGGCTGAAACGATTTATACATTGGCCTTGTCAATGTTTCTTCCTTTTTATTTATTTTTTCTATATTTTTTTATTTTAATTTAAAAGGTCGTAAGTCGTGGGATTTTGGCTTGGTCAACGATCGGACGACCGGAGAAGAAAGGAGCATGCAAATTAAATTTGTCAAAAATGCGACCGGCATAAAATAAACAGGAAATGCGGTTGTGGGTCAAAGTATAAAGATCAACATCAATATCAATCAAATGGATAATGACCGAATCCCATTAAAACTCCAAACCTTCTCGGATTCCCTAATTTTGCTCAAGCCAATAAGCAACTTGTAATTTTTTTAACTGCATCCATTAATCTCTTAAATGCGCCCATTACCATAATCTGGTAATGGAAAGAGTTTTGACGAATCAGAACCCATCCATTAATTTTGAATTTGATAAATAATAATACTTTATGTAGTTTCACTCTCGTTTACTAATCTTCAATCTTCAAAAGGAGTATTTCACCACTGGATCTTCCCCCACTGGTCTAAACCTAGTGCAACAAGTTGGACGCACAAATTAACAAGAACAGGTGGCTTCCGATGCCATATCATATGTCTACGTGGCAAATAACTGCTTTTGTGCTCATCCGGTCTCGTCTATTACGCGTTTGAGCTTATAAAAACTCTGTATTGTGGGCAAGATTTGGTGGAACCGACCTGGGATATTTTCATGTTATAGAACGTGCTTTCTGCGTTGCAAGATAAAAATTAGGACTACCACGGTAGTATCTGATGTTTCGTCCGTCCTCACTGGATTTAAGTCAATTTTGGCAGGTACTGATACTGACCATACTCTTCATTTTCTTTACCAAAAAAAGAAAAAAGAAAAAAGAAAAAACAAACTCATTTATCGTTATTACACTAACGATCAAGCGAGAAAAAAAATCAACTCTTTATAGTTTATTTATTAATGGCCACCACACCGCTATCCGCTATGGCTTCTTTGGTCATTTCCTAGTTCCTATGAGTCTATGACTCTCTATGAGTGCGTCGTAACTCGTAAACGGATCGAGCCATGGCCCTTCTGGAAGAAAAGGGGCCTTTGTCTTTGAGTCTTGCGCACTACGCAAGATTAAATTGTGGCAAGATAAAATAAAAAAGTAATAAAAACGATAGACGCGACGAAAGTACAGCTTGTACTGCTGGCACCAGCGGTTCAACGGGTACAAAAGCAACCCCAGCCCCAACCATTTTAGCCTCAACTCATTTGCTGTTCATCAACAACAACAACAACGAACCGACTTTACCTCTCTCTCTCTCTCTCTCTCTCTCTCTCAGTGTCTCAGATTTCTCTTCCTTCTTCAATCTCTTCGTTCTATTCTCTGCAAACATTGAAAAATGTGTGGTGGTGCGATCATAGCCGACTTCATCCCTCGCAATAGAAACCGCCGTGTCACCGCTCGAGACCTCTGGCCCAATTCGCCCTTCGCTAAAACTGATGACGACTTCGAATCCGACTTCCGCCGCTTCAGTCAAGAAGAAGAGACCAAGAAACTCCCTTCCCCTGCAGGCGAATCTCTCTCTCTCTCTCTCTCTCTCTCTCTCTCTCTCTCTCTCTCTCTCTCTCTCCATTATCTTTACGCTCCGCTTTATTTTCTTCTCCAACCTTTTGACTCACTGTGAACTTCATTCATGCAGATGCAGGTGACGGTGCTGCTGGTGAAAACAACGGCAAGAGAAAGCGAAAGAATCTGTACAGAGGGATTCGACAACGCCCATGGGGCAAATGGGCGGCCGAGATCCGTGACCCTAGGAAAGGGGTTAGGGTTTGGTTGGGTACCTTCAACACCGCGGAAGAGGCGGCAAGGGCTTATGACAGGGAAGCAAGGAAGATAAGAGGAAAGAAAGCCAAGGTTAATTTTCCCAACGAAGACGATGAATACTCAGCTCCTAATGCCCAGGTGCCCTCCCATCGAAACCCTCAGCCTTTGTATAATCAGACCTACTGTGGTGGCATCCCGAAGAATACGGATTTTGGATTTCCCGCTCATCTGAATCAAGCGTTTCCTGCCAATGGTTACTATGGCGGCGTTCCTCCTGTTAACCCAAACCCCATTGTCTTTCTCCCTCACGGTGACATGTCGAGCTCTGCATCTGGATCGGAGGGTGCAGCTTCGTCTCCGAGCATGATGGGTAGCGACCAGGACGGAGGTGACGCTTGTTTTCAACAGGTTAATATGAAGGTGAAGGGGGAGGGGTTATTGGAACCAAAACGAGAAAGCAACAAGGGGATATTGATAGAAGATGACGAAGTACAGAAGCTTTCGGAGGAGCTAATGGCGTTCGAATCTTACATGAAGTTCTATCACATTCCATTCGATGGTGGTGTCGAGCAGCCCACGACAGCGCCGAATCCAGCTCAGGAGAACATTGCGGGAGGGGTCTCCCTTGACCTCTGGAGTTTCGATGATGTTCCTGCCGCTTCTGCCGCCATGGTCTCAACAGCTATGTAATGTTGTGCCTCATCAGTTTTCTCAGGCGCATGATTTTTTTTCCTTTCCTATTTCCTTTGTCATCCGTCGAACTTCTATATAATTTGGGAGAAACTTCGTTTGATGGTGTCGGTATGGTGCATGTAGTTCCATAAGATTTTGAATGTTTTTTGTTTTTTTTTGGTTAATAGATAGATGGATCAAACGGGGAAAGCGTCAATGGGTTTCAATTTTCTCTCTGTTAAGGCTTCTGAATCTTCTCCCAAATTAACTGTATTTAGTTTGATTTCTTTGTATTATTATTATTATGACATTTTATTGTCTTCTTCCAACAATTTCTTCTTTCATTATGACAAAGCTGAGAGATAGTCCCTGTTATTTACTGTTCATTCGTCTTCCTTGAAGACTATCATTCGCGCTGATAATCTGTGATATAATTACTTGAAAAGATCTGATGGGTCATACTGTGTAATCAACGGATGCAACAGCTTTTTATCTTTCTTCTGTTTTTTGTATAAAATTTAATAATATCGTTACTCGTTAGGTGTGTGTCTGTCTCCTGTTGCAGACTGCAGGTAGGAGATATTTTGATCTCTCGCTTAAAAAATGATTTTTTTGGAGTAGAAAAAAAAAATACAGGAATTTAGGGAGGAAGACAAGATAATGAATTGATTAATGGTGAAGCGGTGAAGGTCATGACTCATAAAAAAGCAAGAAACGAGTGGTGGGGGGGGGGGGGGGACACGAGAAAAGAAAGATGACGTCATTAGTAGCGAGTGTTTGGCAGAGTGAAATAGATTAGGCTGGACTCAATCCTCAAGGCGTGGGACCTGGGACATGTTTTTATCCATCCATGCCTCCACTTTATTTCAATCTCCGCCCCTGGCATCATCCATCTAACTATCCAACGGCGCCGGTGGTACCGAACAACCGTTGGAGGCGCCCACAGCTTTGGGGTCAGTACTATTGAATCTGACTGACCACGTACACTGCACTCAAGTTCAACCATGTGACAGATAACTTGCTTATAATAAACATCGTTCATGGTTGGTTTTGTTTTTATTTTTTTAAAATGCCACATCAGCAAAAGCGATAGTGTACAGATGCCACGTGTGTCATTATTTGTGGAGCTCTGATGACATTTTGGTGCGTGGGATCAGAATCAATCGGTAGGTCCCACGCAGAAGAATTGGAGGGTGTTCTCCATTTCGTGTTTGAAGCAATCAACGGCCTAGATATGAGTGATCCGCATCAATCAGTGCTGCTAATTATACACCGCTCACCGCTCACTGGTCAGTGGTCACCAATCACCAACACTGGACTCGTGTCCTGTAACCGTACATACAGGATACAGCCATACACAGCGCATCTCCGCACTCAGAAAACAAAATCAAGGGAAAAGTACGGAAACACACGATGCAGAATTCTCAATTCCAGCCGCCTACAACTAGCCCTCTCCCCTATAAACCACATCTTGCCCGTGCATTCACGTTCAAGACTCAAGTGGGGCTTCGGTGGAGGATATGATCATCCCGTATTCCAGACGGTTATGTTACCTTGTGGATCTACGTAGATGATAATTATTTACGTATCGTGTCGAAAAAAATGGAGATCCGATGCAGAATTCTGAATTCCAGCCCCTTTATTACTAGTCCTCTCCCTCTTATAAACTACATCCTGTCCATGAATTTGACATCAATTCATGGTCAGGATGCATTCTTTCACTACTTTAGAGTATAAATTCTGATTTGGGTTGATTGGTCATTCTCCTTAAAAAAAATAAATAAAACATATCTGAAAAAACACCGATATAGACTGCCCGTATCGATATTTAGAATAAATCCTTGTCTGGGCATCTCGGTCAAACAGTAATTTGTGTGGTTAATACATATTCTTTGGCATTTGATTGAAGGATTGTCAAATCGCCAAGGTTAATACATATTTGTGTGGTTAATACATATTCTTTTATTCCATGGAACTAGTTTCCTTGATCAAGTTCAAAGTATGTAAATTGGGAAGATAATAAGTTTATTAGCAAGGAAAATTTGTTATGATCAGAAAAACTAATAGTTTATAACTTTGTATTGATAAAAAACTTCGTAATATGGCTTTAAATGAAGTATAGATTCTGATTCAGAGTAAATTTAAACTTTGGTTCACTTTTATGTGTATTTGACAACATTATATTTATGCATTGATAAATAATAGACCAATGCATATTTATGTTGTATATATTTGTATTTATGCTCTTTCCAAATTGAGCCCATTGTCCTTTTCTTTTGTCAAAAGAAGAAAAAGTATGAAAAATATAAAGAATATTAGAAATGTTTTTATTAGAAACAGATTAACATATACTTTGGATATACATGGATGTAGTGAAAAAATTAAGATGCGTATAAGTTGCAAAAATTTAAGTATAAAAAATGCATCAACAACAAAAAACATAATAAAACAAAAATCTTAATTCTTAAAAAATGGGAATAATTCTTGTTAATATTTATAAAGTTATAAATTTCAATAATGAGTTACTATTTGAAAAATAATAAATGTACTCTAAAAAATGTTATATGTAAAATTGGTGTCGATGTTATATTTATGTTTAGTTGTTTAACAAGGAGTTACAACTCCTTGAAGTTATTTTGTAGTGATTTAAGTCCAGGATGTACAACATCAAAATCATATTTAGTTCGTTTTAATTTTGATTTATTATTGATTAACCAATGGAACCAACCTTAGAAGTTGCTCCATGTTTCACTGCGTCATAAGTAAAATTGAGCAAGCTGCTACCCATCTCGGCCGGAACTTACAATTGAAGTTCGACTCTTTCGATAATGAATTGCAACATGTCAGAGATAGACAGACACGATGTCCATCTTCAACCTCTCTGTGCCCTCTCACATTTTTATTCTCTGCTCAAGTTAATGACACTTTTGGGTTCTAAATTTCTAATCAAAGAAAATACCGGAAAAGGCGACAAGTTTACGACAAAAGAAGTTCAATGCTTCCTAAAATGATTAAACAATGAAGAATATGTTCGTCTGAATTAATGCCATCGAGATGGGGATGGGCCTGGGTTTCATTTCAAGCGTATCATGTGCAACGAATTCGAGTGGTAGGGATGATAGTTTTCTCCATTTTCCATCTCCACGAAACCCAACCCATAGGCCTCATTGAAGAATATGTATATATGCGTATATATATGTATATACGTGTATCTATATATATGTGTTGAAGATAATGGGTCGATCCAATTCAACACAACCCATGGCACCTACATAACTAACTAGGTTAACTTGTACAACTTGATTTGTATATCAACTAACCAAACAGAGTAAATCTCTGAAATTAATCTGTTGCATCTTATCTCCTTGATTACCAATAACTGAATCACCAATTCTATGGTCGGTTTTCCACTCCAAATTCTTGTGTCGTTGATGGTATCAAGCCTCGCCAATCTGAAACCATGTCCACTCAATCCGTTGCAGTCACCTCAACAAATGCCCAACCATCTTCTGTTGTAAAAATAATAAAAAAGGTAGAATGGAACTTATTGATAATCGTTTTCCAAACCGAAGTTGCAGTGATGTGATGTTGTAAAATCTCAAAACTGGGAATGGCAGGGAGAAGGAGGGTTGAGTCGTGCCACTTGGTCACTCTCCATAAAACCGCATCTGCCCCCTATGGTGCAACCGGATGATCACAAATCGGTCGCTAAGATAAAACAGGCAACATGCTACTGGTAGGCGTGCACTCGCTTACCAGACCTTCGTGAAGCACAGAAAAGATGATGCTCAGATTACAGAGAAGACAAAGAAGAAGACCTGTTGACAATTGATCTACGTGAAACTGGGTCGACTAACATCACTTTTGTAGACTGGTCTCAAACCTGAATGGACACAAAGGTGTCCTTTTAGACAGGAGCCTCTTTAAAACAGTGCACCTATTCGAAGAGGCACAGGGAGGAAGAAGAGACACGAAAAAGAGAAAACGTTTTTGTTTGAAAAAAAAATTGAAATTCAAACAGACATCTGTTCGAGTAGATGCAAAACATTTAATTAAAAATTCAAATTTGGTAAAAAAGTAAAAGCGATTCGGTGCATCGCGCATGCGCACACGCACACGCACACGCACACATGCCCATGCCCATGCCCATGCCCATGCCCATGCCCCGGATCGGCATGCACGTGTGAAAAGCACCCTCAACCCCCCCTCACATGCATGGAATATTTATAATGCTCTCCTCCTATAGATCCCTACCCATAAAGAGAGCAAAATTATAAATATACTCTACTTTCACTCCTTTCCCAAGCAATGTGGGACAAGGAGTCTTCCCATGCACTCAAGGGTGGGAAGATGAAAAGACAAAACCAAGAGAGGGAGGAGAGAGATTCTTGAAATTTTGAATATCCCTACAACAACTTCCACACCTATTGTTTTTGGAAACGATAGTTTTCCAACTGTCGTTCTAGTAAATTTGGGATGGTTGTAACTATTTGCTTTGGAAGTTTCAAATACTTCCAGCACAAGTTGGAGCAGAACTAACGAGATATGTGGATGGTCCTCTCCCACGACTCTCTCAGCATGTTTCGGATAATACCACACTCAATCTAGCTTATTAATCGTGGGTCAAACAAGACCAAATTATGCTCAATTGACCCCTTGCCACTCTCACCAAACCAGTGGTTGGATGCTCTACATGTTGAGAAGTTTGGTGCACTTTGGAGAAGTTATAGGGGTCCAAATCAAAGGCTTGGATCACTCAACTTTGGAACCACCTTCTTCTTATGAAAAAGGATGGTGATTCAATGCACATTTACCTTTAGAAAATCAAAAACAGTTTGGCCGCCACTAGGTCGTCTCTTGTAGACTCGGATATTTTTCACCAAGCTTTGAATAGGCTCGAGGCTGAATACGATGCTTTCGTTACATCCATTCAGATTCGGTCTAATGATCACTGCTTTGATGAGCTCCAGGCTCTCTTGATCATTGAAGAGATCTGAATCGAATGTCATATGCAGTCTTTGCCTCCATTTCCCTCTGCTAATTATTCGTCCATGTACAGATTATATATTTAATTTATAGTTTGAATGGTTAGTCAATTAGCTACGGTTAGTTAGTCTGTTAGTATAGATGTTAGTTTGTTGTACAAGTTGGTTAGTTTGTTAGATTAGCTGAGCTGGAGTTTACTATGTAGCAGCTTTGTATAGGTCTGATTCTTGTATAAATAGTCATCATGTATCTTGTACAGTTTACGTTGAAGTAATATAGAGAAATTTTTTCTATCTTCTAGTTTTCTTTTTCTCCAGAATTTTTCATGGTATCAGAGCAAATCGATCCAGATCTACCTGTA